CATCATGATACCCATATTCCCCCTCGGCGAGAGGAGCAGCAGTCAGGAGGAGCGAGCTGAAGCATTGTCAGCTGCTAGGCTGCTATTTGCTGCCGGGGATCTCCATACTCATCATTGGGCCTCCGCAAGCAGCACTACACCCCACCAAATCCCAGATGTCCATACATGACTTCTATATAACCTCAGTTCCCGTGCAATGTTCCATCTGATTCTCCACTATCCCCCCACCCTAGAACCTCAACGCTAAATCCTGAACCCTAATCCATAAACCCTACACCCAAACCCTAATACCTTAACCCTAAACCCAATATACTATAGTAGCTTCCATTTTCTTTTCCATTATCCTTATAGAACCCCAATATACTACAGAAGTTTCCATTTTCTTTTCCATTATCCCAATATTATATCCTAAACCCTAAACCCTAAACCCTATATCCTAAACCCTAAACCCTAAACCCTATATCCTAAACCCTAAAACCCCGTTTGGCCGAGCCGCTCCCCTTCGCCCTCTTCTCCAGTCTCTGCAGGCTCGCCTGGCGCTGCCAGGGTTTCGGATTTAGGGTTTAGGGCTCAGGGTCTAGGGTTCAGGGGTTCAGGGTTTAGGGTTTGGGGTTCAGGGTTTAGGGTTCAGGGTTTAGGGTTCAGGGTTTGGGGTTCAGGGTTCAGGAGTCACGGTTTAGGTTCAGGGCTTAAGGCTTAGGGTTTAGCATCTCAAGTTCAAGCATTCATTTTACGAGCAGATCTCCCAAGCAAGCGCAATATGCCCACCCGCCCATTGGGTCCCACGACAGTGAGACATCATTTTAATCTAACCCATTAATCCTAAACCCAAATCAACAATACGAACCTCAAAGCCGAATCCTTAGCCGACCCCCAAGTCCCAAAGGCTAAATCCCGAACCCTAAACCCTAGTTTTGGATTTAGGGAGACAAGGGTGGAACTTGACATCTCGTAGTTTCCATCTTCTTTCCCATTACCTCCAAACCCTAACACCTAAACCTGTACCCTAACACCTAAACCCTACAACCTAAAGCCTATACCCTGAACCCTAAACCTTTCGGCAAAGAGTCTAAGATTGAAACCATGGGCCGCCTAGTATGGGCCCTTAACCCTGGGATCCTGGTATGCCTATTATATACCCCATATGTACCTGAAGCCCATACTTCTAACCTAAACCCTAAACCCCAATATATCCCCTACTATAATATAGTAGCTTCCATTTTCTTTTCCATTATCCCAATATTACCCTAAGGTCCCTAGAATCCAAACCCTAAACCCTAAATCCTAAACCCTAAACCCCTAGGTAACCTTAGAAAGAGAGGCGGTCTCGCCGTTTAGGCGACGTTCGGCATCTTCAGCAGCCGTGCCCACGATGCTGTAGGCGGCCTGGGAGTTTGGTAGAGGGTGTCGGGTTTTAGGACTTAGGATGTAGGGTTTAGGGTGTAGGGTTGAGTGTTTAGGATTTAGGGTTTGGGATTTAGGCGTTTAGGGTTTAGGGGGTAGGGTTGAGTGTTTGGGATTTAGGTTTAGGATTTAGGGTGTAGGGTTTAGGGTGTAGGGTTGAGTGCTTAGGATTTAGGGTTGGGATTCAGGGATTTAGGGTTTAGGGTGCAGGGTTTAGGGTGTAGGGTGTAGGGTGGAGTGTTTAGGATTTAGGGTTTGGGATTTAGGGATCTAGGGTTTAGGGTGTAGGGTTGAGTGTTTAGGATTTAGGGTTTGGGATTTAGGGTTTAGTGTACTGCCAGTAGACCTCGAATAAAGATCTGATTCTTCCTAGTTCCTTTTACTACGGAAAATAAAAATAATTCCTAAGGAGATAGGATCTTAGCCCTAAACCCCAAAACCCTAAACCCCTAAACCCTAAACCCCTAAAGCCTAAACCCTTTGTATCCGCTTAGCCAACCTCTTAGGCTCCCACGTCCGAAATCGCCGACAACCTGTCCTGCATTGATTTCGCCTGAGCTGATGCCCGCGATGCTTCAGGTGCTCTTGGGATATGTAGGGGTTATAGAGGGATTAGGGGATATATATATATATACATATATATAAATACATAATATATATGTATATATGTATGTATATATATGTATGTATACAGGTTGTGTACGGCTTAGACATTTGGGAGTTCCGCATAACAAGCATTATAATATGTTGGGTCTTTTCCTGGGTCTCCTTCTCTGTGCTGTATAGGCTGCTCAAGCTGAGATCGGTACGGAGCGAATCACCTGGCATGTGACACTAAGATTCCTTTCTGGCATTCAGGGCAGCAATCACGAACCCATGAAAGTGCACTGCAATGGGACCCCCTTAAGCCTAAACCCCTCAACCCCTTTAACCCTAACCCCTAAATCCTGAAACCCTAAGCCCTAAACCCCTTTAACCCTAACCCCTAAACCCCAATACCCTAAACCCCCAGGCTCGCCAGATCTCCCCGGCGTCTGTCAGGCCTCTTTAAGAGACCCAGCCACGGGAGTTACCATGTTCGGGACATCCTGCGCCATTGATGGGTTTGGGGTTTACGGGTTTAGTGTTCAGGGTTTTTGGATTAGGGTTCAGGGTTTGATGGGTTTGGGGTTTAGGGATTAGGGTTTAGGGTTTAGGGTTTGATGGGTTTGCGGTTTAGGGTCTGACAGCTAAACAGGCAAGTGCAACTGCTCCGTGGTCTGCGAAAGCTTCCAAGCTACCAGGGCCCAAAACACAGTCACAACAACGGCTTGTGACTGCTCCCTGGACGCCTCTGACGTCATGGCTGCAATGCGGTCTTGGGAAAGGTTGCCTTGGCAGTCTCTCCGTCCAAAACACCTAAAATCCCCTAGGTCCCCCAGTAACCCATTACTAGTAAGGGTACCTTTTTCCTCCTGTTTAGTTTTAATAATAAGGAGACCCCAAAATGAAAAAGGGCAAAAGGGTATTACTGGGGTACCTAGGCCCTCCTAACTTGGATGCCACATGATGCTGCCAAGAAACTGTTCACATCGTCTTTCAGTTGGCCCAAAGCCTGGCAACTTGATGCTGGCCACGCCACTGAGCTGCTATGTAGGGATGTTTTGGGCTGTATTGGGATTTGAAACTCTCCAAGAAGGCCCCACCCTGAACCTTAAACTCTAAAGCGCCACCCCTAAACCCTAAACCCTAAACCCCTAAACCCCAAACCCTAAACCCTAAACCCCTAAACCCTAAACCCTAAACCTGCAACCGAGCCATGGTCAGCCAAGCCACTCTGGAAAGCTCCGCGACGTTGCGCCCGAGTTCGGATGGGCCAGTCTTCGTGATCTGCAAGCCCAGACTGTTTAGGGGTTAATGTAGACCCATATAGGGTTTATATAGGGGCTTATATAGGGTTTATAGGGGTTCTATAGGGATAATGGAAAACAAAATGGAAACTACTATTTAGGGTTTAGGGTTTAGGGTTCATGTTCAATAAACCCCCTCCCTTGAAGGGCCTCAATATTAGGATCCCTCTTCTAGTCCCTATGAAGGGGCTGGGGTTCATTAATCAGGGGGTCTACAT